GCTCACCCCGACTGTGCATTGATTATAGGCGGCTCAAAGATATCACTGAGTCCGACGCTTACCCAATGCCCGACCTCAACACGCTGATACGTCAAATGAGAGGGGAAAAAGTGTTCAGCGTTCTTGACCTTAAGTCGGGGTACTGGCAAGTACCACTTAAGCTTAGGACCCGTCGGGGCCTATACCAATTCCGAGTCCTCCCCTTCGGCCTCAAAAACAGCCCCATGACCTTTGTGCGACTAATGGACGAAGTCTTGAGGGGGTACCTGGACGAGTTCGTCCGCGTATATCTAGACGATATAGTGGTGTTTTCAAACACTACAGATGAACAACAGTGCCACTTATACAAAGTTTTAGAACGCCTACAGAGACACGGGCTGACATGCAACCCCGAGAAATGCAGATTCGGATCAACCGAAATCTTATTTCTTGGACACCTAGTCACCTCCGACGGTATAGACAAACAACCGGAGAAACTAGAGGGCATCATAAACTACCCCCCACCAACAAAGCTGAGGGACCTACGGAAGTTCCTGGGCGTTTGCAACTGGTACAGCCAGTTTGTCGACAACTACGCGGACACCATAGCGCCCCTAACGAATAGACTCAAACAGGGAACCAAATGGTCGTGGACCGAAACCGAACAGGCGGCATTTACCAAAATAAAACGCGCCCTGTACGATTCGCCTAAACTATCGACGCCGGATTACGGAAAACCGTTTTGCCTACAGACCGATGCTAGCGAGATAGGAGCGGGTGCCGTCCTTTTCCAACGGGGTGACAGCCCGGACGAAAGGCGGATAATCGCCTACACAAGAAAAAAGTTTAGTGATACGCAAACAAGGTACGCCGCGGTAGAACGCGAGTGCCTCGCGATAATCTGGGCAACCGATAAGTTTAGACCATACCTGGAGGCACGCCGGTTTGACCTATACACAGACAACTCAGCACTCACGTGGCTCCACCGAGCCAAAAACACAAACTCAAAATTAACCAGGTGGGCACTACAGCTGGCCAACCTGGATTACAAAACCACGCATGTGCCCGGCGTACAGAACGAAGCACCGGACATGCTCTCCCGCAACCCGACTACCGGGCCCCCGGTAGACGAGGAACACCTCGAGGAACGACTAGTAGGAGTACCCACCTCACCACTCGTCACCACTACTAGCTCACCGGCCGACAATCTGTTCGCCACGACGAATTTGGCTAACACCACTAGTCATCCCACAATCACACACGCTATGCTCGTGACATGGCAGGCCAATGACCCCAACACACGAGACATAGCGCACAACATGACAACGGACGACCCAGCGCGCAATACCGGAGGTACCTCGGAAAAAAAAAACAATTCATTTTTACCGACGGTCTTCTCCGGATAAATTTGGGCGAACACACACCCGTAGTCATCCCAAAAACCAACACGCAGAACGTGATCTGGACTTACCACGATCACGTACTCGCAAACCACCCGGGCTGGAAAGAAACGTACAGGGCGGTCAAACAACGTTTTTTTTGGAAAGGACAAAAAAACGACATCCGACTGTACGTCAAGTCGTGTCACATATGCGCGTGTACCAAACCACTAAACACGCGCGCAGACGGCCCCGCGACCACCAGAATACCTCGACACCCCTGGGAGGTGGTAAGCATAGACCTCATGGGCCCCTACCCGCGCACGAGTAGGGGAAAACAATATATACTGGTCGCCACGGATTTGTTTAGTAGGTGGACCGAGGCATACCCCCTCGGAACAGCCACTACAAAAACAATAACCGAAACGCTCGAACGAGAATTCTTTTCGGATACCCCCGTGTGTGCTTAAGCGACAACGGCTCACAGTTCGTAGCAAACGATATGCGTAAAGCGATCGAACAGTGGGGAGCCGAGGGCTGGACAACTCCGGTATATCACCCGAGGGCCAACCCAGGGGCGTCATTTGGGGGGGTGCAGGGTGTACATTTGCACCAACTTTTTTTAAAACTCCTTCTTTGGCCTGCCATTAATAAATATAAGCGCTGATATACCTATGTGTTTTAATTTTATATTTTTTTTCAGTATTAAAAAAAATGTATTGCACTAATAATTTCCAAGAATGTTTGATGTGGTTTTGTGGTCCCACAAAATTATAATTGATAAAATTATGACACAAATATTGTGAAGAAAGGTACCCATAAAATAAATTTCTGGTTTTATTAAGCTAACTAGCTACTACTATATATTTTGAGTATGCAGAGAGAAAAAATGTGTAGGTTAGGTTCAGTTAGATATTTTACTATAAAGTGTTATATACCAATACATTTATTTACCAAATGCAAATACCACCGTACACTGATATTCACAATATAAAATAAATACATTAAAAGTATACTTACACATAGTTCGTCAAAAATAGAAACAATATTGAGAAATTTTCATACTAATATAAGTGACATATTAAATAAAGTATACAAATATTCGGGAGATGGTATTTTGCGCCAATTTAATAACCTGTAATTTGCGCCATCAAAAGGTACATTTAAGGGCGTATGTAATTTGCACCAAAATATAAAAATATAATATGTATTTTGCGCCACATATACAAATTAATTTTGGTAATTTGCGCCACGACAGAAAACGAAATGGAATATGTAACTTGCACCACACTTTCAACTTCAATATTTTTGGAATTTACCAGCAGTTATAACTTATATTTACTGATATCGCATAGGATATACAATAATACGTAACGACGTGTGTCCAATATAATATTGTTGTGTTCTACTGATAATAGAGACGTAATTAGACGTAATTGATCTCCGATTACTTTTTGGACATACTGAAAAGATTTCAAACCTAAACTTTGATTAAAATTAAAAGTATACATCTTAAAAAACGAAATTCTACTAAAAATAAAATTCGTTTGGAAACTTTTCAACAAATATATGAAGACTACAGACAAAATAAAATTGACAGAAAATGCTTTGTTTCATCATCAAGCTATAAATATAAAAAACGTGAGTAAGCTAGGTATTATAAGTACCTAGCTAGGTATTTTATTTCAAAAATTATGCGTGTTATATTACAAAAATTGTATTACTAAACGAAAATTTACTTATTTAATATACATGGAATTCGTTTTACTTGTATACTTTTATTTATAATTATAATATGACTGATTTTTATATGTTTTATTACTAAACGAAAATTTACTTAGGTATTTAATATACTTGGAGTTCGTTTTACTTGTGGCGCTAATTACAATTTCAATAAGGTGAACTATGGCGCAAATTACAACTTTTGTAGGTAAACGATGGCGCAGATTAAATATTGCCTTTTTATTTAGTTTCATTTGGCGCAAATTACAAACTTAAAAAGTAGCGCAAATTACCAAAATACAATTTTAGATGTGGCGCAAATTGCATATTTGTTTTTTTTTTTTTGTTGTTGTTTTTGGAGCAAATTACATAGGCCCAAATATTCTACAGTTTTTGTCCCTACTTGACCCCTTTCGCTTTCAAAAATAAAAATAAAATATGTGGCCTGGTAATGATTTGAATGGCCTGCAAACTTTTTGGCACCAACAAAAAAAAAGTTGAAATGACGCCCCTGGGCCAACCCAGTCGAACGCCGTAACCAGGAATTAAAAAAAGGTCTACGCGCGCTACTCGCCAATGGCAACCACAACACCTGGGACACCTGGGACACACAACAAAGGTTCTCATAAATAGTTCATACTGTAACCAAAAAATATAAAAAATATATGAACACAGTTATTTTTTACAGACATTTTAAATTCAAATTTGGACGAAATTACATATTAAAAAACTTAGAATAACTATTTGAGTTATTTTGTTGTGATTGAATAATATTATTCGTGGGTACTTGAAACTTCTAAAGTGTACTATTATACATCTATGATAGAATCACGGTTTTTGTTGATGTATAACGCGTTATAAGTACCTAATGGATATTGTGATATGATTAATTTTGGAATTTATTATAGGTACCTATTATAGGTCAAATTTTGGTTTAGTACCATAGATATGTATAATGTATATAATATGTCTTATACCTAGACTGACATACCGTCTCCGCTCAGAATCGTTTTTCTTATACAATGATATTATATCGTTGAATTCAAATTTAATATCACTACCCACTTGTAACCTACTGTACAGCAGAGCGACACCCACTTGCCAACCTTTTTAATTATTATAACACGTCGGGGTCACAATTATTATAATTTATTGGAATTTACGACCATATTTTGTTGATTTTCTTCCAATGATTCATCTGTCTGTGGTTGTACCATAGTTAAATACCGAAGCAAAAATGGCATGTATAGGTATAGGTACAATAAGTACTTACAACAAAGCGGTGAGCCATCGTAAAATTATATTACCTACCTATTCGTCTTCAGGACATCAATTTCTACTTTTTTCTATGTGACTTTTTAACTTCATGTCATAATTTAATTAAAATAAGAACATTTAAAATGTTTTTATATTATATTACCACAGAAGTGAATATTCTATTTATGACAATACTACAAACGTTGGAAAAATAATGTATGTTCATCAGAAAACTATAAATTAAACTACCATATTTGGGTTAAATTGTGTTAGTATTTACGTAGAATCCTATAAAAAGTTGAAGTAATTTGGATTGTGAACATTATACAAAAAATAGTTTCACACGTCTTTAAATAGGTACTCATTAAAATTATAAAGATAATGCATTTCTTTAAACAAATCTTGGCACATTCTATTGGTTCTTAATGACATTGTATTGCTTAAAAAAATAAAATGACCAATAAAAAAAATAAAATAAAATATGCCCACTGAACCGAAATTATATAATCAACTCTAAAAATTCTGACGTTGGAGGTAGAAATGGATACTTTGATTTCCGGAAACAAATTCGACCAGGATGACATAGAGTATAGCTTTTATAACAATAAGATATAATAAATAGTGTATTTTCTCATAGTCAATTCGAAAACGTCCTGCGTGTTATCAACAATTTGTTTGAAGACACCAATATACGCATATTGTAGAGAAGCACACAACACCTTTATTATTGTCAATGTCAATAATCCATTTTTCACCTCCATTGGCGTGTAATTTATCTACTACGTCGGGAACCATCGCATAAAATTCCAAAAGTGTTTTAGGTAATATTGGATACTTACTCATACGAGCAGTGTGAATATTTTTTCGGATTAAATTTATATCCTTTGAGTCTAATATATTTAAATCATCTGGTGTAATCTCAGAATGTATAATTTTGCTGGGGCGTTCACATAGCTGCTCTACCACTTTACGTTTGACACTGTTACTTAATTTCTGCCGCACAAGTGATCGTTTCTCATCGGCCGCGTGATTATTATGTTCAAGATTATTGTCTATTTCAACACCATGTGTATCAAATTTTAAAAATGCATTACACCTTTTATTTGTACACGCCCACCGTTGAATTTCATTTTTCATTATGCGATGAAAACGGAACTTAAAACCGTCAACCACACGTAACTCTTTAAGTTTTTCACTATACATTTTTATACAGAAAAATTGGAAATAAACGAACAGAAAGACGACACATTAAACATATTAAACATATTTTTTGACAGTCGTTTCAAAAGCGCCTGCACAATCTTATATGCTGATAAATAATATATATATATATATATATATATATATATCGTTAATATCGAACAGTAATTTCCCAACGTCCACAATCGTTAATATCAAAAATAAAAATAAAAATTGGACATTTGTCCGCAATTCGTATCTTATATTTGTGTCCGCAATTCGTATGTTACCTTTTTAGATTTCGTCCGCAACTCACATGGTTTTTGTCACTTTGTCCACAATTCGGAAACACCGTTAACTTTACGGTACCTATATTATGCAGTATAACAAAATATATGAAATTATATCGTTTAAAACCAATTAAAGGCGTCTCGATGGCTTCTTTTTCCCGAGTGTCTTCGTTTTACGCCCTCTCGCTGGGTGCATATTATAATATAATACGAGTCACATTATGTAATATACTCGTATACGTATATTGTAAGCATGTTACCGGTATATAACGATAATATTAACGACGTGAAACGTGTGAACCGATTCCAGCCGACAATATTGTTATTATTATTATTATTATTATAATTATTATTATTGCATGACGAAGACGCGAGTAGAATATAATAATAATATTATATACGACGTACGCCGGAAAATTAATTCTATTAGGCTCGGCCTCAGTAATGATATGTTTTATGTGGACGAGTATATTATACAATATATAAATTATAAGCTGTGCTGTGTACGGTGCGAGGTAAATGGTAAAACGAGCGTGCGCCCTCGACCCCGGTGTATATACCTGCAGCTACGTGTAATTGCTGTATACATCACTACGATTGTCCTTATTATATTCTGCCCATCGTACCTAGTAGAGCCAGTACTCTGGGCCAAATGCCTTCCGCGGGGACTTATTGCGCGACGGAGGACCGAACGTCATATTATTATTATCATACATAGTAGGTAGGTAGTGGGGTTTTTATACACATCACTTGTGCAAACAAACGTGGTAAATAAATACATATTATATAGGTACGCCCGCGATTGGACGGGCGCCTCGGAATGACGCTTAAAATACATATACGTTCGACATTATAATATTCATACCCGTTACACGTGTATTGGCAGACAAAAATAACGTTGCATGTCATATTATATATAATATGCACCATGCACGATATAATAAAATAATATTTTAAACTTTTGCGATTTCGAGAGTGTCGGATAAGTACATATTGACAGAACGCGGAGCGTGTGACTCGGTGACTTTAACGCGCGGTCAGCGGTGTAGTTGTTAAATATTGAACGTTTATATATAGGTAGGCAAAGGAACTCACCGTTTTAAATTATAGAATACAACTACTGCGGTTTAAAGAAAAAGTTGTAATAATTACTGTAATTTGTGTTAAATTTTTTTTTATATATTTATAACAATTTTAAAATCAAATTATTTTGTTGAAATGTCATAAATGTACCTATACCTATCTATTTTAAATTTTAAATTAGTAGAGGGCCAAATGACATTCAGTTTTGGATCTCAACTAGAGT